AGGAATCATGTCTATTTAATTATTTTCATATTGTTAATTTGGCACAGTAACAAAGAAACAAAGCTTAGCATGAAAAGATAGGACAGAAGAGCAGAAATTAGGTTGGCCTTTTCTCATTCAACCAAAACGTGCTTTTTATTTATGCGTACTTTTACCTCTCCCCAACAAGGGTCAAATTACTCAACTCTTCAATGCCGGCCAAGCAGAGCAGCAAGAAGACATGTGCTGTTACCCTCACCACCGTCCCTTTTCGTTTTCTCCCCTTCCCGCTGCGAATTGGTCCCTCCCTTTGACATTTTAATTCAAAACTCCACCTTCATTCCTTCTTTTGTTTATATACTGCTCTGCAATAATAAAACCTCCATTAAACCTCTCTTTCTCTTGGGTTTCGTGTGCGCTTCTGCTTTTCCTTAGAGACCCATTACCTCTCTCATTCCAAAGAAATCCACAGAAACCCAGAAAAGATTAAGGAAAAAGAAAGTTGCTTGACGCAAGAATCGCTCCAAGATCCAATTTTTCACTTCTTTTCTTGATTTTGTTCTGGGATACTTTTTTTTTTAGCTCTACTTTTGGTTCTGGACTTTGGTGGGTGGTGTTTTCTGAAAATGGGTAGTAAATGGAGAAAAGCTAAGCTGGCTTTGGGTTTGAATCTCTGTGTCTACATGCCGAGAACTATAGAGGATGCACCCCCCTCAATCGATTCCTCCGAGAGGTTGTCTGGTGCTGCTTTGTTGTCACCAGCTAACTGGGACATGGCTCCTTCTCCTCGGCCTATGACTCCCACTCCTTCTTCTCATGGTTTGAGGCTCTCCAGAAGTGGAAGCAAATCGTCTAAGGTTTGTGTCTCTTGTTTTTGGACCTGCTTGCTTTTTAATGATTTGATAGTTCTTTCCTTTTCATTTCTGACTTCCTATTTATGGATGTTGGTGTGTTTTAAGTTTGGTAATTCTGGTTGTTGTGATTGATTGCAATGAAATTGGTGTCTTTAGTTGGTTTTGGTCCTTTACAGCGCCTTGCTTGGTTTATAGGATTTTTTTCATTTTTGGAAGTCTTGTGCTTTTCAATGGGGCATGACATGGTAGTTTGAATTGTGCTAAATTCGGTTCCCCGGAAAATGGTTTGGAAAGAAAAAGGGACTATGTTTTAGGTGTTTGCTTTTTGTTCTTTTTAGAAAATGGAAAAGCTGAAGCCAGGTCCGGTTGTGTTAGATCATTATTGAATAGTTGTTTCTGTTTCTAATTGATATGAAGATAAATGGATCTTTGTTGGTTGAAGGGGACTATATTTTTTAGTTGTCCCCTGTTTGGTTATTAAGAAAATGATGGAACTGATTAAGATTCATTTTCCTGCACCTTATTGGAAATAAAAATTAAAATTACCCGAGATTATGCATCTTTACTTTCATATTTGTTCTTGTTATATCTGGAGGTTTACCCTCTGCTGGTGTTAATAGGGAGAAAAGGAAATTTAGCTACTAAGTTTAGTTTTTATCATTTTAACCTAACATCTTCACCCTCATTTTTGTATTTCATCGTTTTTTAGAAAGCTGTGAGAAATTAAAATTATGGAATTTCTCAATATTATTCTGATACAATTTCTATTTTTGTTTTTCTCGCTTCTGATAAACTTTTTGTTACCACAATTTCTTTACAGGCTACTAATGCAATTGCATGAGTTTTGTTAATAATTTCTTCTCTTACCTACTTTGGTTGGCATTTTTGTCACAATTATATATGCGTAAAAAGTCAAATTCACTATTAGGATAGTCTTGTGGTCTTATCACTGTAATCAATTTTAGCATTTATTGATGAATGCATGGAATTGGTGATCAACTTGATATTTGTATATTTCTCCTCTTTGGCTGGTGGGGTTAATGCATGAGTCACTTTCAGGAATTAGGACCATTTTCTATTGCCTTACTAGTACTCGTAAAAGAAGACTACAGATTTGTCTTTCCTTTTCCTTCTACCCTTTGGAGGGGGGAAAAGCGGCCATGTGTGAAAGCCTCCTATGTTGACTGTTAAATTTAAAGCTTTGTAGCTGTTAATTTCTTCAAAGAAGTAAAAGCAAGGAAAAGAAAGATATCTAAAAAAGAACTAAGATATCCCTTTCTCTTATAGATAGGTTTTGCATATTTTTCTCCAAATCTTCTAAAGATTTGCTTGAATAGTTTCTTGATAATCTTTCAAAGGTGACTATTTTGATGTTTGGTTTTGTTTCCTAATTTTTTTTGCTTTATTGGTTTTTTGGTCTGGAAGGAATTTTCAGAAAATTAAAATAGAATGAAAATACACTTTATTTATTGTATACCTACCATTGACTTCCTTTCTAGGTGACTAGGCTGCTTAATTGCTGTTTTTTTTCTTTCTTTCTTTTTTTTTTTTTTTCCATTTTTTCTTCTTTTTTGATACTACTTTGGTCTGGCCTGACCTCCTATTTATGCTTAACAAAGTTTTTTGCAACTAATTTTCCGTAACAAAGTTTCATGGGTATTTATCCTTATTTGTGCTTTGTTTATTTCAGCAAATGTGTTCGATATGTTTAACCAAGTTGAAACAAGGCGGTGGCCAAGCTATCTTCACTGCAGAGTGCTCACATTCTTTCCACTTCCATTGCATTGCTTCGAATGTGAAACATGGTAACCAAAGTTGTCCAGTTTGCAGAGCAAAATGGAAAGAGATCCCCATGCAAAGCCCCAGTACAGATGTGCCCTCTGCAGGGGCATTGATAAACCCAGTTGGTTGGCCTCAAAATGATGCGTTGATGGCTGTGGTCGGCCAATTACCTCCACATCGCAGAGATTTAAATCGTCGGCACATTGTGCCTTTATTTCAGGCTCCTGAACCAAGTGTGTTTGATGATGATGAATTGTTAGATCACCAGCCTGTAATTGCTGAGGGTAAGGATGGCTCAGATAACTGTTCTGTTAGAACAATAGAGATTGAAACATACCCAGAGGTTTCAGCTGCACCACGGTCCAATTCTTATGATGACTTTACCATTCTGGTCCATCTTAAAGCTGTTGCTTCGGTTGCTAGACAAAATGCCAGCAGAAATCAAACTCCCTTGCTGCAACTTTCTCAGACTTCTCGTGCTCCGGTTGACTTGGTTACGGTGCTTGACATCAGTGGTAGCATGGCAGGCACCAAGCTTGCATTACTAAAACGAGCAATGGGGTTTGTAATACAAAATCTTGGCTCTAATGATAGGCTTTCAGTCATTGCTTTCTCTTCTACAGCCCACCGAATCTTTCCCTTACGTCGCATGTCTGAGACAGGGCGGCAGCAAGCACTACAAGCTGTTAACTCGTTGGTTGCAAGTGGTGGAACTAATATTGCTGAAGGCCTCAAGAAAGGTGTGAAGGTAATGGAGGAACGGAAGGAAAAGAATCCAGTTTCCAGCATTATACTTTTGTCAGATGGGCAGGATACTTATGCCAAACGTATCACTGGTTCTGGTCATAGTCAACCCCAACCATGTTTCCAGTCACTTCTCCCTTTGTCCATTCAGGGGGTTGACAATCCAGGATTCCAGATTCCGGTGCATACTTTTGGTTTTGGTGCAGATCATGATGCATCTTCAATGCATTCAATTTCAGAGATTTCAGGAGGCACATTTTCTTTCATCGAAACTGAAGCTGTGATCCAGGATGCATTTGCACAATGCATTGGTGGTCTTTTGAGTGTCGTTGTTCAGGGGTTGCAGGTGGTATTAGAGTGCACAAACTCAAGTATTTGCCTTGGTTCACTAAAAGCAGGCAGCTATCCGAGTCGTGTGATGGTTGATGGACGCACTGGATTTATTGATGTTGGAGATCTATATGCTGATGAAGAGAGAGATTTTCTGGTATCAGTCAATGTCCCAGCCGAATCTTCAAAAAGTGAAACATCTTTGCTGAAGGTGAAATGTATTTACAAGGATCCCTTAACTAAAGAAATGGCAACATCTGAGAGTAATGTGGTTAGGATACAAAGACCTGAAATAACTGGAGAGGAAGTAGTGTCAATAGAGGTGGACAGGCAACGCAACAGGTTCCGAGCAGCAGATGCAATGGCAGAGGCAAGAATCACAGCTGAGCAGGGAGATTTAGGCAGTGCTGTTTATATTCTTGAAGACTGTAGGCGGTTATTGTCAGAGACTGTTTCAGCCAAATCTCATGACCGGCTCTGTCTTGCTATGGATGCTGAGCTCAAAGAAATGCAAGAAAGGATGGCAAGCAGGCATGTATACGAGGTATCTGGGAGAGCATACATCCTTTCAGGACTAAGCTCCCACTCATGGCAAAGGGCAACAGCAAGAGGTGACTCAACAGATGGTTCAAGTCTGGTTCAGGCTTATCAAACCCCATCAATGGTTGAGATGCTTACTCGATCTCAGGCTATGTTACTTGGTAGTCCATCAGTTCAAAGGCTTATACAACCATTATGGTCATTTGGATCGCAACCAAAGCCACGTTAATATTTGCCAGTAGGGAACTGTCATTAACTAGTATTTGAAATCTTATTTGTAGAGGGATGGGGTGGTTATATGAGGGTTTTTGCACTTTGGTTTCTGTCTTACATTGTGTAAGTAAATAAAAACCGGCGAAAAGGCAAAAGATTATATTTGGGGGAAGAAAAGGGATGAAAGACTAGGTAGGGGTTTATACATTCTCTTTTTATTTGTTTTTGAGTTGGGGGTGATGTACATAAAGAGAAATAATTTCTCTTTGGGAGAAGCAGCGAACAAGTTAGGATTTCAATGTACTCTACACCTAATATATAATTCTCTGCTTTACTTTCTTCTTATTTTGTTATATCTGATGTTGACGATGACATGCCATGCAAAGGGTGATAATCCTGATAATCCTTTTTCCTTATTAGATTTCTTTTCACTAGTCTTAAAGTTTAAATTTGAGATTTACAATTTAGAATTTGAAATTTTTACCGATTGAAGCACATCTCTTTTCTTTTTATATACAAAATTATCTCATTCCCTTAATGAGAAGTTCATGTTTCATTCACAATCATATTATGGGAATCAGCATCAAAGAAACATGTTGAATGGTGGATTGAAGGATCAAGGAAAGAATGGAAGTGGAGTCAAATGATACACTAATTTCTCCCACTAAGCAGAATCACTCAATCATATAACCAAATCATAAATGTCTGACGGTAAGGACTAAAATCATTTGAGTTCCCCCAACTTCCTACAGGGATCTGGAGATGGATCCTCCACTCCCGCCTGATGCATTATCCACCAGGCCCACCAAGTGGAGAGCCTAATGGACCCTTGCTGTCAAGGTAATGATGGTAATGCATAATTGCACACTTGTTTTGTGCAGCTCTTTTGAATCTGCAAAACTTACTGTTATTCCTCTCTTCATTTTCCAGTTTGTGGTTTGTCTGCCGCTGTCCAACTCTCCCACCACACTCCCAACCTTCATCATGACAACTTTATTTTGAATCCCTTCGTGCACATGCATGCATGCATTCCATCGTGGGAGTATGAAGGTAAGAACCAGATATACATAAGCAAAATATCAAAGAATTCAAAGCACATGAAATCAATTACAGAACAGAAATAGATCACATAATTTCCTTGCATCATACCCATATTTTCACCTAGTCGATAAATTCAGGACCAGGGTCAAAAAATTCAACAGCATAATGTGGATTCCATCATTCCAAAAGAACTAGAACTAGAACTAACCTCCCTTGTCAAAGATGAGCTAAGCCAACTGCACCAAAGACGGTGAGTGAAATCAATGGAAACCCAAATCTGATAAATGGATACTTCCTTGTTCCTAGGTAACCAAAATTTTGCAGGATGAAAACTTAACTCTGAGTTTTGGTAGTGTTAGCGGCAACAACATCAGTTTTCTGAGTCTGTCTCATGTGTCCCTCAAAAAACGTCATACTTGCAAATCATAAAATAGCTTGCATTGCAATATTAGTTTCACAGAATCGCAGTCAGGTTCATGTTTACATTAACTTGGATCGATACTGATAGCTGATGGACTCAAAAATATGTATTTCAACCTCTGGAAGTGCAATGAATGTTCGATCTGAAGTATGGTTTCGATCATCATTTCAACTAATGATTCAAACCAAGATTGTTTTTGGCATTAAGGGAAATAATTTAGCAATCTTGTGACTTAATTCATCAGAAAGAAGATATGATGTTAAACCAAAAAAAAAAAAAAACTCCTATTTCTCTAATTTGTTTTTGAATATAGTTATTCTGATTCACTTCCTTTACCATTTCCTCCTTCCTCCATAAATGGTGCTGGTGTTTTAGATGACGCTTTGCAATCGTGGGGTTCTTTTGTTTTCAGATCAGAGGACTCCGGTGATTTTAGATCAGTGGATCTTGATCTAAATCCAAACCTTGAGAAAATATTCCAACCTCCTTTTGTCTTCACAAGCTTTTCAATTTCTTGTTTCATGCTCAAGCACTCCTTTTCAAGTTCAGATACACGCTCCTTCATCTCATCAAATGTCACAATTTGGTTTCGCATGGTGCTCGAGTGTGGAGGAACATCGTTTCTGGTGATAGCGAGATTGCCACTTGGATTCTGTGAGTTTTCAAGGTCATCAGAGACAAAGAACCAACCAGCAATTGAAGTGCGGAGCCTCAGTTGTTCAAAGTACAGAACTTGGATTATGACTCGCACTGGTAGCCTCTCATTCTGGGTAGCATGGGTGATGGCTTCCAAAGATAGCTTCTGGCAGTTCATAAGCCTGCAGAGCTGTTCTCTCTCGGATTCTGTTAGCCAGGGATGAGCCTAAATATGAAAAATGTATCACCATTATGTAAGATAAATGGAATCAACAAACCAGCAATGCAGCCAAAGAATGGTGCACAAAGAAGAAACTTTACCTTGAGGTATAGATCGATTGCACGATAAATTCCATCATCTAATGGCCTGGCATAATCAGGAATAACAGCAGCAAGTGACTGAAATTTTGGTAACTTCAAGTTAACATCAGGTGCTACTTCAGCTAGATATGAATCCACCAGATTCGCAACCATTGTCATTGGGCTGAGGGAATGGGAAACTCCCATTAACTGCCCTTCATCATCCATATAATCAGAACCATATTCAAGTTCTTCATGATCTACCAGCATGAAGTGATCGAGAATCCGCTGAACACAGTCAATATCATAAAGGGTCTCCTCTGAGTACCTCATATTTGGTATCATAAGATCTTCCAAAGCTGCTTGATCCAACTGAGCCCCAATCCTTCTCTCCAAATTCTGTTGACATGATATACTAGCATGTAAAATCATGGATGTCCGTAGAAGCCTCAGTAAAAACCTTGTTGGGGTGACACCCTTTTGATTAGGCAATAACTCCACTATTTCTTCAAGGAGATCCCTTTGATCTGTACCAGATGGGACAGGCAGCATTGATGCAATTGCAGCATGGCTGCCATTCTGGAAGTCAGACTCCCTACCCAAGGGAAGATGCCTTTTTGCATAGTGGATGAGAGACCCAGCAATCTTCTCTGGCTTCATGCTTCTTGATTCAGCATCTAGAATGAACCTTTTATACAGAGATAATTTCAGGAAGGACAAATCCTCATACCACCAATCCTCACTCACAGGCTTTGACTTCGTTACAACGCATATTCCATTCCATGATGCACTACCATCTGGATTCTGTTCAGCACCACTTCCTAAAATGGGCCAACTGAACAAACTTGGATCTGCACAAGCTTTCATTGCTAAGGCATTGATGCATTGTGAAACAATATGAAGTTCTTCTGCATGTGGTAAAACCTCGTCACAGGACTCAAGGGCTTTAATAGAATCTGTCCAGTTACTGCATATCTCATTAAAAAAAATTTCTGTTTGAACAATGAGATTTCCTTCTCCATATTCTTCACTCATTTGAAGATATTCAGCAGCACATCGAAGACTGACTACATTTAATGCACTGAGCTCTAGTTTGACACCATAACAGAATTTGGCTATAAGCAAAAATGCCTTGGCTCCGCCAGGTATGTCATGAATTTGCAAAACACACTTTCTCTCATCCTCACCTAGAAGATTTTCTAATACTCCACTCCTTGACAACAATGGAAACTGATAGACATGCCAGGAAGTGGAAAAAGGAAATGCAATGTGATCAGATAAAAAATTCCAAATGCTAAATGAAATTAAAAAAGGTTAATAATGAACATTTTATAAAAAGAGACATAAATATCTACTGTGATCCTAAGAAACAAGGATAAGTGTTTGTCCTCGTAAAATGTAACATGGAAAAATCCGAGGCTTAAGCTTTACATTATGAAAATTGAGCTACAATGCAATCTAGCATGACCTGAAAATTTGAGCTTTCCATTCTCTTCAAGCTACAACAAGGTCTACACATTGGCCAAAGATGCAACAAATGAACGAAGAATAGAAGAACATAGCAAAAGTAGAGATTGGTAGAATGAAATATACCTTATGAAGATGGAAGGAAAAATCTCCCACTTCAACAATGACATCACTGGGCAGACCAGTTGAACACACCCTGACAAACAAATCAAATATCATCTCACTAAGTAAACCTTTTCACAAAAACTAACCACTACTCCCCTCCCAAAACTCTCTCTTGTTATATCTCCATTTCAATCTAGACTAGACCCCCCACAAGCAGAGTACATACTTGACAAAAAGTAGGCACTATTGATCTCAGAATCAAGACCAAAAATCACATACATGGTCCTAAGGAGTCATTGCTTAATAACTCAAAAATCCATGATTAGCAATATGAGAACATATGGACCGGATGTTACAAAACTTATAATCTCACAAGAATTACAACCAGCCAAAACCAAAACTTTTAAATTTCTTTTCTCGCATTTTACCACAAAAAACAGGAACAAATCTCAATCTCATCTTTAAACCCCATTCAAGTTTTACCTTTCTTATCACCCCATTAACATTATAGTTATACCCTTTAAAAGTATAATAAAATAGGAAGACCAAGAAAGAAATAACAGACCAGGATTGCCCCTGAAGATAAAACACTTCAGATTTGGATCCCAGCTTCATGCAAGCCATGTATTTATCTGTAAACCCCACTTTGCTCAGTTACCATCAAAAAAAAAAAAAAAGGAAAGAAAGAGCAATGGAACCAACAAAGCAATGACTGGATTTGGCAGTGGAGGATAGGGAATGAAAACTGGAAATGGTGGGAGTTGGGGAAAACTCAATGACGATCAACTCATCAAGTCAACAAGTCATAAAAGATGTGGTTTTTCGGTTTTATCTTTTGTGGGTCTTGGGTAAGGAGAAGGTCCCGAGTCCACAGGGGAGAGAATCCAATTCCGGGAGGAAAATCGGTTCCTGCTGTTACAACTTCCAGAAAACAAGGCAGCGTTTGGACTTCTTGAATTAATTTGGACTACTATGCCCGTTATTAAATGCTTTCCTCAAAAAAAAAAAAAAAACATTCTGTTTCGGTGTGCAGTAGTAATAATCAAATCTAAAGAAGAAGGATATTCGTTACCAGATTTTGTCATTCTATGAAAATCCTTGTCCTGAGAAATGTGCATGTTCATGTTTCTAGTAGATCAAGCTTGATGGTGACATTGTTAGGCGAAAAAATGAAAAAGCTCTTTGCTATTTTATGTTATGATTTGGGTGGGTGCACTAACTCCTAATTTATAAAAATATGCAATTTTTAGCGTTCAAAAATTAGAAAAAAAAAAGTTGAGAGAAACAAAAAAAACCCATCATATACAAGATATAGGGTCTCATTTTTTTATTATTGAGTGAAAGATTAGCATAAAAGTATGTAATTAACTCCATATAATTTCAAAATGTATATTTAACTCTCAAATTTACGCATTTCTAATCAATATGACTTTTACTATAGTGTGCAATTGCAAAAACATTTATATGTACATATACATTAGAGCAAATAATTTAAACGCAAGGATAATAAAAAAGAATACAAATTTAAACTCTTATTGTAAAAATATAAAAAAAATTATTTTTATATTAATAATAAAGTTACTTCAACTTTTAAAATTGTACATTAAAAAAAATATTTTAATGCTTGAAAATTACTATTAAAAATATTTACATAATTACTAAAATATATAAAATATTAATTAAAATAAATTTAATTATGAAAAATTTTAAAAACAATGGAAAACACAGTTTAAATATTGAAGGCGAAATGTCGAAGTTGTTGGAGTCAAGGGCACATTTTCCATTGGTAAAAGATAAGCTTACACTTTCCAAATTACAGCATCAACAGCGCATTACTATGATTTTAAGGAAAAGGATACATTTTCAAAAGTTTCCTTAATATTGCTCAACTCGTTTCCTTATTCAATAACTAAAATGATATAATTTAATATGAGAATTGACGTTTACCTGTCATATTTCTAAAATTTATAAAAAAAATTATTTTAATAAAATATTTTAATTTATATTTTGAAAATAAAATATTTAAAATTTTTAATAAAATTTATTAAAATAATATTGAGCTTCGGCCAAATAATGTATTGGGCTTTTTCGTGCTGAGGGTAATGAACCCAAAAGAACTGGCCCATTTGACGCTTCTTTCTTTCCATCTTTCTTTGTTTCTTTCTTACCAATTCCAAGATCGAAAATTTAGCACCTGCTGCACTCCACTCTTCGTCTCCTTCGTCTTCGTCAACTCCAATTGGGGGAACAAGAAACATCAATGGAAGCTGTAGTCGGAGCTAGATCAATCCTAGCTTTCGCACTATTCTCGCTTCTCTTTCTTCTCTCTAGATCCTCCGCTCATCAGCTCAACATCGTCAATGCCGAGCGTAGAGTAAGCTTCCCTTTGTAACTATCCCATGAATTGCGTTAATCTGATACAAATCCGAGATTATGAAGTTATGATTTATCTGATTTCGCTACAAATCTTTCGGATTAGGAAGTTCGCTACAAATCTTTCGGATTAGGAAGTTATGTTCTTTATTTTAGCTTCGTGAGTGCTTTAGGATTGATCAAGGCGATGCATTTCTCTTGAATTATTGCTTCTATGTTTTGCTATCTTTTACATCTGATTATGGTTTTTACTCTTTTTGGTTGTTTATTGATGCAGATTGACCTGACTTCGCATATTGTTAAAGTCTTCTTGACTTTGAAGGTATTTTAACTCCTTAATGCTTCATTTTGTTTTAAACTTTAGTGTAGTATGTGGAATGCATTTGTAAATTTGAGTAACCATTTTTAAACACTTGAAAATTGCACGGAAAACAATGAAAAGAGGGTATGTGTTACAAATGGCTGGGAGTTTTGGTGTCTCAAATTCAGGAATCATAAGGTTTTTCCTTCACTTCTGGATTCTGGTTGAATTTTATGGTTGGATCCCTTTCTGCCCCACCCACCAAAGTTATCATTTCAGACTTACTTGAGTGAATCTGTATAACCAAAATTCTGGCTTTAACTTGTTGGCCAAAGAAAAATTCTAGTTTTAATATGAATATGAAGACTAGTGCAGCTGAAGTTTCTAAATTATCCAAGTTCATGACCTTTTGGTTTGAATGTTGCCTAGCAAGTGGAGACTGGTTAGCCTTGGGTGTAAATCTAAATTACTTCAGTTGTAACCTGTAAATCAGATAATTGAATGGATAAATTCCGTGGATAAATTCCGTGGATTTCATGGTATTCCATATTTATAATACATGTTTGATATATTGGTTTTCTATAGGTGGAGAATGTAGGTACTGAACCTGCTTCAGAAATCCTTCTTGCATTCCCCCCTACCCAAGTCAATCATCTGGCTTCGGTTGAGGCATTAGCAACCACAGGCAAGCGGAAGAAGAAAACTTATGTACCTCTTATTGTGACCCCAACAGAGCTACCTGATGGACCTAATGGCACCAAATATTTCACTATATCTTTGGCTAATCCTTTAAACTCTGGGGAAACAACAACAGTGGAAGTGCTTTATTTATTGACACATTCTTTGGAACCTTTTCCAGCAGAGATAAGTCAATCAGAATCTCAGTTGGTATTTTACAAGGACGGTGCAATGATATTGTCACCATATCATATTAAGCAGCAGACAACTTTTATTAAAACACCAAGTACCAGGGTTGAATCCTTCACAATGGTGGAACCCACAAATCGTGCGGGTACTGAATTGAAGTATGGGCCATATGAGGATCATGCTTCATATTCATTCTCCCCAATTATTGTACATTTTGAGAATAACAATCCATTTGCTGTTGTTGAGGAGCTTGTGCGAGAAGTGGAAATATCACATTGGGGCAGTATACAAGTCAGAGAGCAGTACAGATTGGTCCATACTGGTGCTAGACATAAAGGTGTATTTTCAAGGTACCGTTAGCTTCTGTCTGCTAGTAATTTTTTAGTAGTGTTGCTTTTGTTGTGTTGATATCCCTTAGTAGTGTTGCTTTTGTTGTGTTGATATCCCTATATTGGTGCTTGATAGAGTCTATTATAAGGCAGAGTTGGCTGAGGTTTGTAAGTTATATGTTACCATTACTGTAAATTGCCAAAGATGTGGTAATAGTTATTGATAAAAGCTACTGCTCTCACACCTCTCTCAATTCCCTACCTTTCCTGCTCTCTCTCACTAAATATTTTTGTTTATTCTCGTACTAGAATACCAATCCTTGATCTTCCTCTGCAAGATTCCTTCCATTTAACCTGTAGCAGTTAATAGATTCATTTGCAAATATTCATCCACTGCTGTTCCATGTTGTCAGGGTTGAATACCAGGCCAGACCATCTCATAGTGGTGTATCCTCATTCAAACACCTCTTGGCAAGGTTACCACCTAGGGTCCATTCTGTCTACTACCGGGATGAAATAGGGAACATCTCATCATCGCATTTGCGGACAGACTCTCGGAAGGTAAATAAACACAATTTTCTATGCCAAACAAAAGATGGAACACGTTTGCTCTTCTATCTTCTGTAGCCCATTCAAGAGACTTGTTTCTGTTAAGTGAACTTGTCTGCTTTTCCTTGGAAATTTGGAATTTCTGAGGGTTATTGAATTTGCTGCTGCTGACATTGCGAAAGCCTTGTTTTTAATTCCTTTGTTTAACCCTTCTCACACTACTTTCTTCATCATACTTGTTGGCTGACTTCTTTTACAGTCGGAACTTGAAATTGAGCCAAGATATCCTTTATTTGGAGGTTGGAGTGCAACTTTTGTCATTGGATATGGGCTACCATTGCAAGACTTCCTTTTTGAGTCACCTGATGGCAGGCGTTATCTCAACTTCAGCTTTGGATGCCCCCTTGCTGACACAGTAGTAGACAAATTGACCATTAAAGTAGGTTAATGTTATAATTTTGCATTTATGCTGTAGCAGTTTGATTATTTATGTGGCCGTAGTTTTAGTCCTATTTTCACATGTGGTGGAATGGTTAGTGTCATATAAAATTTGCTAATGCTAGAACTGCAATTTAATATTTCAGGTTGTCCTGCCAGAAGGCTCCAAAGACCCTTCTGCTGTTGTTCCATTTTCTGTGGAACAGCATCTTGAGGTAATTACTCCTGATATATGAATTTGTCTGCTGAAAGACCCTTTCTCTATTGTCTGTGCATGGCAACACATTCAAGCACATCTGCACATTGTTAGATTTTACTCTCTTTTTTTTTGTTCAGGTTGGTATGTAGAGACTAATGAGGGGATGTTTAAACTGTTTTACCGAATAAATATTTTCTCAAGATAAAATCATAGAAAAAAACCGGATTTTTATTTTCTTTTTGATAGTTGTTTGAGAAGTGTTCTTCCTGCAAAATACATGGGCACTTTCTGAAAGTATTAACTTCCTTAGAAATTTGTTCATTATGTCAACTTTGATAAGTATTATTTGGATCTCTGATTCTCTGCAGACAAAATATTCTTACCTTGATGTTGTTGGGAGGACTGTGGTGGTCTTGGAAAAGAAAAATGCAATTCCAGTGCACAACGTTCCTTTCCAGGTTATTTCTGAAACCTTCTACTTTCACTATGGATTTCCAGGTTATTTCATTATGCATGGAATACGTAATGGCTATTATAAATTTCATGATACCTTTTTTTGGCAGGTTTATTACACCTTCAAGCCGATCTTCATGCTTGCAGAGCCACTGATGCTGGCATCAGTTATTTTCTTGTTTTTCATGGCTTGTGTAGCATACCTACACATTGATCTTTCCATACGGAAGTGATGAACACTGTAGTATTTTCAGGGGTAGTAAAGCAGCAAACAGCTTCCTTTTGTTAGTCGGTAGCTTGGAATACGAGTCACTTTACCCTGTTCAACTCACAAAGTAGATCAGGAGGTAGGATTTAATGAGTGACTGACTATCTTGGGTATTAAAAATCTAAAATTTTTGAACGAGGATAGTTTGCAATTAGAAATTTAATTATACGACTGTTGGTTTCATCAAGTTGGAGCCCCTGTTTCCATCTTTGCTTTAACGTAAGAAATACACAGATCCATCGTCTTCTCTTTTCTTGGAATGGTGAAGTGACATATTTTGTTTTCATATAGGACATTCTGTAGACTGTTAAGAAAATAATTTCTGTGCCCTCTTTCTTCTTGTGGAAGTGACGACTGCTATGTGATTGTCTTTATAGTTACGGAAATACAATAATACCGTAGGAGGAACACTTCTGTGATGATTTCTTTTTATTGAAGAAGTTATTAGTTGTCTCATCTTCATGCGTTATGGGATTTTCCATCTCGGAGGGATGACTATTTATTGTCTGTAGAATTTGGTGCAAAGAACATGCAACTACATGCGATTCCCCAATCATACAGAAGGCCTAACACAGCAACAAACCGCATCAATAAGTAGTTGCCCGAGATTTGGACCCATTCTGCCATCCTTCATCAGACTGCAACAATACGAACAAATCTGGCTGCAGTTTGGGTGTTCATTCTTTCACATACTAGAAAGGAGAAAAGGTCCAAATAAATATATGAAGGTCAATATTCTTTTCTTATTAAGGGTATAAATTTTAAAAAATTTTAAATTAGATAATAAAATTTTATTTTTTTTGTTTAAAATATAAATTTTGTCATTTTTGCTATTAGGTATGAAGTTTGCATTGTTTTAATTAAGGTAGTTGTTTGTTACATCATTATCGTTATCCAATAAATCATTAAATTGCACCTGACCCTAAAAGTCCACTGGCATTAAATAGTCAACCAGTGCATTCCCCCTTCTCCCTTATCAAAATGTTCAAAAAAAAAAAATCATTAAATTAAAAATGTTAAATGTCAATTTTTGTTCTTCAATTTTAAGGTTTTGTATAGTTTTGGTCCCTTAATTTTTTTATGCACATTTTTAGTTTATCAACTTTAAAATTTTGCACAACTTGTCTTTCAGTTTAAAAGTTTAAGAACTAAAAATATACATATGTAGACAAACTTAAAGGATTAGCTGATGAAATAATTGAAAAAATATATTTTTCGTAGTTGAAGAACCAAAAAAGTACATAAAAAATTTAAAAGATAAAAATATGCAAAAGTCCAAAATTAAGGGACTAAAAATTGACATTTAACCAATTATAAAAAAACAAAATTCATCATTATTTAGTAAAAATTAAAAATTTACCGTTTAATATAAAATTAAAATTTTTTTTTTTGAACATATAAAATTTAAAAATTTTATATCTTTAAATAAAACAATTTATATATTTATCTACAACTTTTCTAAGCTACAAAATTCTTCAAAATTCTTATGGGCATGGGCTTGAAAGGAAACTCTTCCACATCTCATGTCCAACCTGGTTAATTAAAGTGTCATCTAACTCTCACCAACGAACTGCCCCTCGTCTTCTACACTGGCACAACAAACCCTATTAATTGGCACTACGGTGAACTCATTCAAAGTCTATATGAATTAATTGCTGACAAAAGGCTTGGCTGTTTGTTACTACCGAGGGACTGATGTGGGGCTGAGGTTATACCTCATGGCCATTGGTCTTTTTGTTAAGACTACCTGTTTTCTTTTAGACCACAAAACTTATCTATAATTTTATTAATTTAATATTATTATTTAAATAATTATTTATAATATTTAAAAATATCTATTTATAAAATAATTTTAATTTATTATATGATAAGTATTAATTATTTTATTAATTATTAACCCTTTTTAATAGTTAAGATAAAGATTTGACAACTTTAATAATTCTAATAAAAATAATGGTGGTCATATTCATGACCTTGTTGTGGTATTAATTAACTGAAGACTAATATTAATAAAAATGGACTTGGTATTTGGAAGAAGTGGGAGATAGGCATTGTAACGTGGATTAGGTTTAGTATCTTCCACAGTAGAGGAGTTAGTTATCAAATTACTGGGGCAAGGATTTTTTCTCTCGCAATTTGTTAATCAAGGTTTGATAAGTAGCTACACGGGAGGTGATGAAAAAGTAATTGTAATTTATCTTAGATAAAAAATAATTTAGAAATAATTTTATTATTATT